CCTGTGGCACACCCAGAGATTTTGCTTCAGATACCAAGAGACATGAGAGTCAGAGTCCAGGTGGAAGCTCGAATAAGGAAGCCAGGTTCATTGCAGTTCACCTGTAGTCCTTGCAGGTGTGATTTATAACTTGATTAGTTTGATTACTGCAGATTCTGTACAAACTGGAATATACTGTTGGTGATCACTCATAGCTTAATTGCTAATTACACCTTAGTTTCAATAAAACGGTTGCTTAGTGACTCCAAATCCTTGTTGTACAGGATTAGTATAAATTAATTATACAGTACATTTGGCGATGCAGTAGGTTATGTCAAGAGGTATATCTGTGTAAAATTCTATATGAATATTCATATATTGAAGACCTGACTCATGGCCATCCGAGATTCTGTAATCGCTTGTTAAAGCTTCTCATAGTGGAAATACGAGAAACATATCAGCTTTGATTGTAAGTACTAATGCTAGGAGTCAATGCTAATTTTAAAATCAATCAGGCAGTAACGAATGAGTGAAAGATTGTAAAGTTATAGACTAGTGATGTGATAGTATTATGCCATGAATAAATCTGTCTCTGTTTAAACTTAGTTTTGTAGTCCTAATTTTAAACACATGTTGGAAATACCCACATGAAAGTATGTATTTCACAGCTCTAGTCTCATCGTGTGTATGCATAGTATGTGCTGCATCATCCTCTGCTATAATTCCTAACAGTTGTCGAAAATTCAATGTGGTTTAAATACCTTTTTGCAATTGTTCACACAAGTCAGTGTTCAACCTGCACACTTTACTCTGCAAGCTTTGAATACTTGGAACAAATCTTTTAGAGCTATAAATAGACTCAGTTCTGTGGCAGATACGCTCCCTGTCTGCAAACAGTTCTTCAATTTTTACTGAAATTAGCCCGAAGTTTAGGTTCAAAGCTTGTGTTTGGATTACGTCCTCTCCTGTTACAGGAGCCCTTTGTGAAAGCACCACTCCCGAGGAAACGATGAAGTCAGAGCACAGTCAGAGAGATGAAAGTGTATTTCGTTTTTTTGATTACGATTTCGAGTTAGCCTCCCAATTTGCTGTGGATGTCAGTGCTTTTATTTGACACGTTGTTTTCTACGTGACTGTGCTTGGATTTCACATGTAATATCCCTGGGCCCGACACAAAGAAAAAGAAAGGAAGCATTCTACTGTCTGCATGAAGAGAAGAGTGCACTATCTGAATGCAACTTGCATCCATCTTTATGCTACTAACATAATTATGTCGACACAGTTGCCATGACAACGGGAGGTCACAGCCCTGTCATTAAGCCGCCTGGTTTCATGTTTCTATTTATAATTACCACTCCAAGCACAGTTACAGATGTTTTGATAAAGATGAAAAACCTTCTCCTGACTCGGCGTGCATGAGTTAACCTCCCTTTTTTTTATCCCTCTTGCTCATATCAGGTTTGCAGCCGCATTTTAAACGTGAATTAAGCAAACCGTGTGATGTGTATCAAAGCTCTAACAGCTAAGTGGAGAGGTCTGTTTTTTCTGCCTGTACTCCTGGGCTCCTTCACCTTGAAAAGAAGATTGCTGTACCCTTTGCTTTCCGATTTCAGACAGGTCTAGATTCAGACGAGCCTTGCAGCGGACGTTTGTCCTGGGTTATTTCTGGTTCTAGTCGTACAGCAGATCGCGCCACTGCTGAACGGGGCCAGAAATATTTCACCAGGCAGGTGGCATGCAGGTCACGTTTTTGTTCCAAAAATATGCCTAAAAAAATTCTAGCTACAGCTGCCCAGTCGTATGATCGGTAAAATTATTCTGCAGAAGGAAAGGGTGATCAAAAAAAATACTGTGTTTTGATGACAGCCAGATAGTGAGGTAAAAATGCCAGTATCACCCACTCGTGGATGAAGTCTAACAGTGAAAATTTCTGATTTTAGTGGCACAGTATATTTATGAAAGACCAAGCGGTTGTAAACACCAAATGAGATAGGTGGGCAGAATGATCTCCTCTTTATCAACTCCATTATTTATTTATTTATAAATCCAGGATTTATGACACGATCCAGGCATTGGTTAAAATCATTTCTGATCCAAAAGGAATAGCGCCGCCTACTGGTCTACCAACACCAACATACAGCGGCAACCTGGTTTTCTTTGGGAAAACCCCCAGCCCAGCCCTACTGAGACCTACAGATCAGTCTACTGCCTTGAGTATTTATGAAAGTATGAAATTAAACACTTATGTGAAATCACAAACCAAAATATGAAATATGGAATCAGATCATGTTATGTAATAATTATGACTCACATATAAATTGTTTATAGATACCTAGCCATGGTACCTTCAGGACTGTGTAATCTTTTTTTCTTTTGTTTGTGTGGCTTAATCCTTGAAATATGGGGCATTCATTCAATTTTAACCGCATTTTAAGATAAGACATTAGCAAAGTCTGCTGTTTTGTGGTCCTTATACAGCAGAAATCAGGACACGTAAACCAATTAGAACTAAAAATAATCTATATGTGTCTTGAGTGTTCTATCTGCGTTCCATCGTTAAAATTAAGATTTCAAAGTCAATGGTACTCATACTAATTCTTTATTTTATTCTTGTGATTGTAAATGGTTTGGCTGAAAGAGGCAGTGTTTATTCAGTGTGGAACTCTTTTTTTATTACTTGTGGAATTACCTCTCATATGGAACATGTGCCTTTGCAAACATGTATCATATAAGCTGCCAATATTTTGTCATATGAAGTGATATGGACAAAAACCATCAGAACTGCTGGAGTAGGACAGGACTAAGGTCTACAGCACTGCCTTCTCTTAGAATATATTGTATAATGAGCAATTAGAAACATTTATATAAATTAGTTGGTCAGAAACAGAAAGTACTTTAACACGAGTACTATTTCTATAGTGAGAGTTAATAAAATTTCAGCACTCAAATACTGGACCCAGTAGCATCAATATGAACAAGGTCATCAATGGAAAAAAAAAAGTAATTCATTAAATTAAAAATTCCCTTTTAAAAGACCTTTACTTTGAAATATTTGAATGGAGTTTTGCTTTCTTGGGTTTCTAAAAAGTCAGCACCTTCAAAATGGACAGCAAGCATTTCCCTCCCAAAAACACAAGGCTGTCTTTTCTAGGGAGGCTTGCTATCTTGTCAGAGCCGGAAGGGACAAAACTCTGTTACCTTCAAGGAAATAAATGGTAAAAATAGAGGGAGATTGTGACAGGTACAAAACAAGTCTGTGTCCAGGTCCAGTACTTGTTACTCATCAAGAAGGCCACAGCCAGACGGCGAAGAAATGTCAGTTTGTTGATTGCCATCTCTCTATGTCATGAAATATTAATGCCTTCACTGTGCTCCCAGAAAGTGCTATTGATTTCTTGTGTAAACTGTGCTATATTTAGTCTAGACAAATGGGTTGTGGATTGCTGTTGAATACATCGTGTGAAAGTCTGGGCTCCTGCCTAGCATGTCCTTCGTACCTTAACAGCTATTATTTATAATCAAGAGCAGCTTTGGAAATAACAAGGGCAATTTGTAATAATGCCATTGATTTTCCTGCTAATAAAACTGCTATGAATACGAATAATCACGAGAACAAATTACAAATCTAAACAGCGAAATGAAATCAAAGCAGTGACTTGGTTGCCACAGCGGCCTGACGCCCCTCAAATCACTACTGCAGGAGATTAGAAGAACAGGGAACTTTGTCTTCGGATTTTTGTAATTTACCTGTAGACAAGAGCAGGACTCGATTTCAGTACCGATGCACCAGTGGACACCAGAATTATTCCGGCCTGTGTGCTAAACTGTTCAATTGTTCAAGTTGATTCTGGGTCTTTCCAAGTGTGTACCAAATGCATGGATGTCGGTCCTTTATTTGTTTATACAAATGATAAAATAATCCTATAATCACGAGAGCCAAGATTTATGCCTTTGAAGGCTTTATTGTGCGTTTTAATCCTCTGGTGTTTCTCAGGTTTTTATCTGGGCTTCTTTGGTGTTTTGCTGAATTTGAGTTCTGAGTGATTATTTCTTTTCTTCATGTTCTGCTTTCCAAGTAGCTTTTTGAAGTTTACCATTAGCCTAGATTTCTCTGTTACAGTGAAATTATATCATTTTTTAAACAAGTCCTTGGGAGTGATGACTTCAAAAGTTTCAGCAGGCAAGCTGAAACATTAAATGAATTGTGCTGGGAGAAAATAGAATAAAATAGGACAGGGAAAGGTGTTACAAGTGCCTATTTTTATCTGAAAGAAATGCTAAGAAGAACCTGTCAGAAATTGTATCCTGACTATATGAAGAGTATTTTCTATATCTTCTTAAAGCTTTCCAACAGTGATAGTCCTAATGGTTAAGCATTGCTTATCGTATTTATGCCAGTGCTGTGTTTTAAATCTAAAAAGGAACAGCTTTAGTCTCAAAGGGAAGGCTTTTGTTTGATAGCTAAGAAAATATTTGTGGGAATAATGGGGTAGTGTTTTCTCTTTTGTGGGGCTTGAGGACATAAAAGGGCCTTCTGCATTGTGGCTCAGAATTGTCTAGACTCTGCTTTACAATGTATTTTCTTCTGAGGTCATGTCTTGGGAAGTGACCTAGGACGAACAGCACTATACAAGATCAGTTTCTTCAGTCAAACCGCGGCCACCTTTGCAGCTGGCTGTTTTGTACAGTTTGTAAGTGACATAGAGCCTCAAAGCCTATAGTTGAACCAGAAGCAGGTGTGTTTCCCACTGAAGACGAGTCCCTTGACTAGGACACTCCCTGATGCAGTGACTGCTATTTGTTTTGACAAGTGTGCGAGAGCAGCTCCTGTCCAAAAGCTAGATGACATTGTAGACATTTCGCTTCAGATCTGAAGGCGTTCGCACTGGTCTGTCAGACACTCGCGCTGCAGGAGTGCCAGAAGTGTTGTTGCTCGTTTATTGCTCATGAAACAACGGAACGCCCTCCCCCGTGGGACGCCGTGCGCCCCGGCTCACGGCGGCCTGTCGCCTCTCCCGCAGTGGACCTCAAGCCCGAGCTGCCGGCGGGGCCGGAGCCGGTCACGCCACTGGACCTCCGGACCGACCTGAGGATGACGATGCCGGCGGCCGACCCCACGGTGTGGGAGAGGCAGCTGCACCAGGAGCTGCTCCTGATCCAGAAGCAGCAGCAGATCCAGAAGCAGCTCCTGATCAGCGAGTTTCAGAAGCAGCACGAGAGCCTGACGAGGCAGCACCAGGCCCAGCTCCAGGAGCACCTGAAGGTGAGGCGTGACCTCGGACTGCACTTTTTCATCTCCGCCGAGAAAGCCAGTCTGTTTCAGTAACTGCTGGCAACTGACAGTTCTGGCCTTCCATGTGGCAGCTTTCTTCTGGCTGTGCTGAATAAAACGGAATATTTTTAGCGTTCGTCATTTGCGGATTTCTGTGGTCACGTCTTGAATTATACAAAAGCATCCGCTGGGTGATTATTTCTGTCCTTCGTCAAACAACAGCGACATTGAACACAAACTGCTCATGCATAACTCCTTCCCTTTATATATGGGCAGCTGAATAATCAAGCAAGATTTCATTTAAGCAGTAAAATTTGTCCATCTAGTATACGTCATTTTCAACAGAGGTGACATCTTGATCCACAAATAGAGACCAGGATAGTATTATGTTTCCCCTGTGGTCCCTGCCAATGAGTTTTATTTAGAAACTGAGCTTATTTTCTATCAATCGTGCGTACTTTCATATCCCAGCATAAAAAACTCTGTTACTCTGCTGCTCTTTAAACTTATCAGCCATACACAAATATTTTTACGACTACCAGTATGCAGAATGTTCTACAATCACTGCTGTCACGGCAACACCAGATGATGTATTTATGTGCCTGATCACACAGGTTGAAAATAAAATGTTCTGTGACTCTGTGATTGTGTTTCTGAAATACTATTGATGATTGATTGAGCTCCTCGGGCTCAGAATCATTCAATTCTAGATTGAACATGCTATTTAAATTCTATTTGTAATTAGATATAATATTTGTCTAAATACAGTATGAAGTTTAAAGGATAGACCCCCTAACCCAAAACCCCAAAAAGTACACCTTAACACCTGGTAAAATAATATATACAGTGTGTGTACAGTATATGATGTGTATGCATGTATGTACATACTGTATAGTTTTAAACTGTGATAATAAAACGAAAGCTGTAAAAGTCAACAGTTTAATTTCAGTCATCTCTTCAAAGTATTTACTGGACTGCAGAGTAAAATCTGACCCCAAAAACAAGGAAATCCAAAACACTGGCAGTACACCGGGCCTGAAAGTTGAGATTCAACGGCACACTCACCACATCTGAGGTGTAAAAAAACACGGCATCATCCGAATAGCCAAAACAGAAACCCAATTTGTGTATGAAGTAGTATCTATTGTTAGTTTAACTTTCTAGTTGCCCTTTCTCTATTCTATAGTACCTAAACAAAACAGACACAATCAGAGATAAGCAAGCTGCATTTTCCATTTTTAAAACTTTTTTAATACAACATTAATCAAAAGCTACACTATCTCGCACTCATCAGCGACAGGCGAATGTGTTCTTCCACTGATGCCGTCCATTCCTTCAGATCTTGGTTTTGGCAGTTTTGTTTTTTGCCGTAGTTGGCTTGTTCTCCGCGTGCAGGTGTTGATAAAAAATGCCGGACGGCCCATCGCAGATCTTTAATGCTGCGTACTTCTTAGTTACAACAGGAGCTGCTGGCCATTAAGCAGCAGCAGGAGCTGCTGGAAAAAGAGCGCAAAGCGGAGCAGCAGAGCCAGGAGCAGGAGATGGAACGGCACCGTCGGGAGCAGCAGTTCTTCCTGCTCCGCAACAAGGACAGGGCCAGAGAAAGTGAGGCCCGGCGCTCGTCTCCGTCCCGGTCGTGTCGCGCTTGTGTGTCTGGGGGGGCAGTGCGCTGCGGCAGGCCTGAAGGCTGCGACTGAGGCTCGAGTCCCATGAGCTGTTCCCAGAATTCATTAGGATGTAAAGATCCCTCCTGCCCCCTGGTGAGATGGCACCAGGAGGAAGGCGTCCGCAGATGGAACAGACGTTTCTTCACTCCGTGTGTGTTTTTTGGGTAACGCTGTTGAAGGGCGATTGGGCTTTGTGTTGGAAGGTGCATTTTGTTTACGAATATGGTGTCAGTTAGAGGATAATAGTGTTATTTCGACGGCGTTTTGTTCCGCTTTTCTGAGTTTTTTGTACCACAGTATATCGTCTGTATTCTGGACCCATATTTTAAAATTTTTCCCTGCCATACTGGAAGTGATTTTGGTAATGAAACACAATGAAACGACAAAACCTCACCCTAATATTGCAGGATACTATTTCCTTTTCTGCAGGATGCCTGCAGATTTCATCCTTTTGAAAAAGGGGCACATTGAGCTCATTGTCTTGGTCCTGCGTACAGCAGGTCTCTCACATGAAGGCCGAAAGAACAGGACTCCCACTGCCTTGTCGTGGAAGACTTTCTAACTGCCCACAAGAGGGAGACATTTGCTCATTAGTTAAACCGCTCATTCAGGGGTTAATCCGAAAACTGCTCCATTCCCCATAGCAATAGAACGACTTGTTCTATCTAAGCACTGACACCTCACAATTTATTGCTTTCACCAAGTGGAGGTCCCCTCTCTGTGAGCGCAGCTGTAAATATATTACATGGAACAAGCAGTAATTATGTGAGCCCCTTTCAGAAGCGTATTGATCCAGGATTTTGTTTCGGCAGGTGCAGTGGCCAGCACGGAAGTCAAGCAGAAACTCCAGGAGTTTTTATTAAGCAAATCGGCCAGTAAAGAGACAGCAGGCAGTGACGTGAATCATTCCCTGGTCCGGAGGCCCAAGCTCTGGCACACGTGAGTTTCAGCGCCTGGGTACAGGCTGTTTTCATTCCCAGGGGCACACAGGGCAGGGGAGGAATTTACTGACAATACTGACATTACAAAAACATACCAGCAACATGGCCCGCTATGTCCGACTCTGCAAGGTAAACATACATTTTAAAATACCCAGTTTGAAATTACTGTCTGTTCTTCCACACGGTTCATTTGCTGGAAGGTTCCATCCAAGCCTCCATCCAAGTGCTCTCACAAAAAGAGAGCTATGATATTTATTAAAAATAAGGGACTGTACGCTGTACCAGCGGAATGATTAACATGTGGAAATGCAACAGCAATCAGAGTTACTTCGCAAACAAGGAAAAAAAAACACGTTTGTCTGCTCAAATATTCATTTATACCCGCAGGAGGGAAATTCTACAAATGGAAAGTCAAGTTCCAAAGGCCTCCAGGCAAGGCTTTTGCATCTTGCTCCACCAGTATTCCCCACTGCCCTTGACTGAAGGCAGGTAGACGGAAATCTGGAATTAATCTGGACCCTTTACTGTGAACAGGGCAGGCCGTCACACCTCACTGGATCAGAGTTCGCCTCCCCTTGGCGGGACGTCTCCCACATACAAGTACACCCTGCCAGCGGCACAGGACTCAAAGGATGACTTTCCACTGAGGAAAACTGGTATGTCAAACGCCCGTCTGAGCTCCTGGTATCAATTAAAGCTAAAATTATCCTCCTTATATACTTTTGCTGTCTTTTTTAAGACAGAATTATGGATAGCCTAATCAATCATTTAAAAAAAAAGCTTTCATGCACTGTTAATTTTATAGTTGGGAGACTTCACAGTGTTAGGTCCAATGGGAGCTCAGAGTTCCTTGGGGTTTTATGAAACACTGCTGGTTATTAACCTTCAGGCATCTGCACTGCTCTCAGAAGAGAGAGGGGTTTTAGGATGCCTTGGAACATACAGATACCCTGTTGCTATCACTCTGACTTCCCTGCTTTTACACAGGCCTTGCTTTGTGCATGTAATATATGCATTGATTATATTCTGGCTTTTGCGAGCTTATAGGTTTACAGTATCAGCTGCTAGATTGATCTGAACTGTGCGTGTGTTCGACTTGCTGGACTAGTAGTTATACTTTCCTCGGGTGGGTGAGAGTGAGAAGCAGCTTGTACTGTCTTGACAAATGTGGGCTAAAGTGTAGAGGAGAAGTTCAGGAAGAAACAATAAAAAAAGACCAAGGCTGGCTAAATGTTTGCAGATGAGCCTTACGGACATTAATCACAGTGGTTTGAGGTCAATGGTGAGTGTCACATAGCTGACATCTCAGAGCATCAGCTAATTGTTCCAGCAAATGCTCCTGTTTACATTTTAGGTCAAAGTAATGAAAAAGGGTACTTTTCTATAGTGGATAATCTTGAGGTTAATGCAGGGTTTAACAAATGATTTTGAAGGAGGTCAGTCTGAATGGAGCGCAGTGTGGAAGAGACATATCTGACCCTGCCCTGATCAGCCAGAATGTGATCACAGCGTCCTGCATCAGGGTCACTGCAGAGCCTCTGGCCTGGGAGGGCTCCAGGAGGACAGTGGTGCCATAGGAGCCACCACAGCCTTGATAATTGGATCAGCTTGACCCTTGGTGCAAGGGTGAGCTCTCTTCCTCTGCCCCAGGGAAGCCCACATCCCACTGTGACACCACTGGTAATGTGCCACAAGACAGATCTAGCATTTCAGACCCATTTTCTGGAGTTGTAAAAAGGGCATCTGAGATTAGCTAGATGCTTTTACCATATACTTCAAATTTCGAGTAGCCAGAGACAGTAAAAAAGTCATGGCAGACACAATATTGGCGTGCAAGTGTTGTTAAAAAATAGCCAATTTCTCCTCTCCCATTCATTTGCATATATAGTATTTTTAAAAAAGCAGCAATGTGATGTATGCAGATTCAGTGGTACATAAAGTGCTGTCCTTTTTCTGTAAAGTTTAAATTCATTAAAGTAATCTGCAAGTATCTCCTTAATTAAAATAAATATACAGCATGTTGAATTTGCAAACATATTTTTGACCACCAGTGTGGTAAGCCTAAGATATTGGCTAAGCTTAAGATTTATATTTTAGACATTCATGGCAATATGAACTGTTCATCTTTGAATGAGAGGAGAGGTGGGAAAACAGGGCATTTAACTGTATTAAGGACTGGAAAATCCATTGTAACAAAGCAGGCAAAGCAGGACATGTACATTCCACCAAATGTCTTTATCAGGGTTGAAACAGTAACACGTTCTGCATCGAGTTAGGACTTGAGCTGTATAACACGTTTTTACACCTGAACACGGAAATTGGAATCTAGACAGGATACACTTTCTCATGGTAGCATTGCTCTCCTCTATAGCATCTCAGCTGCTCTTGTGCTCGCCATTCTGCCACACAGTGTTAGCAGCGCCTCACTGTCTATTCGTGACCTTGCGGTCCAGTCGTAACCATCACCCACATCGCATTTTTACTGGTTGATATTTTCTTTTTTTGGTTTGCTCGCACCGGTCTTAGAACATTGCAGTGGTTTAAAAGGTCAAGCAACTAAGCTGGCCAGTGCATTCAATTCAACACCTAATTATTCTTTCTGATGTAGCCTACTACATAACACTGAAAAACAGGACAAGAGTGACATATCATACATCTTACTGTGCCTTTAATTTTCCAATATTTGCAGAGGGTGTTTAGACAAACCAATATCCTATTCCGTCCGCATTTTACTGCATGTTGGGAACAAAATTCTCACAAATTCTTGCCTCTTTTTTACCAATGTGCTTTGTCGTTGACATATTCAAATATGGTTTATCTGTCCACTGCGCTCCTCTCTGGCTGTAATTTGGATGTTAGTGCAAATGTTGGATGTGGATGTTATGTTATCAGATCAATCGATATTACAGAATCAGAGCTTGCTGGAAAATTTCGACAAACCAGGGCTAACCATCACACTCTTAATAATAGGATAACCCCTGTAAATACATTTTAAAAAAGGATAATGATCCTTTACAGCAGTCAGTTTTCTTTGTCCTTTTTTAGCAAGATTGTCAGCACAGAATGAATCTCCACTTGCTCTTTTGTAGGTTGCATGCTGACAGTGTTCTTGCCCAGTAAGAGGGAAGATTCAGACCTGAATGCCTTCATTAAGGGTTGCTAATTATAGATGAATAAGAGTCAAGAGAATATAGAAGGACTGTTGATATATTTATAACATTTCATATCTGTGTTCAGCAAAACATCAGGGGAAAGAAGTCAGCACTGAAATTAATTAATAAAAACATTCTCGTCGATTAGGCCCTCAGAAATCTGTGGCATAACGAAATTGTGCATAGATTTATTGTGAAGTTAAGGAAATTCCATTTTGCTTTTTCCACCTTTGTCCTCTTTCAAATTACAGGACTATACATGTGTATGTAGTAAATTACCCTACCATATGGAGTGGCACATTGTATATGTATGTAATTAAGTGATAGGCAGTGGGGACTATATCCTAAGTTTTGCGGACAGTTATATGTATAATGTAAACTCAATTTAGTTAATTATAAAGTCTGTTCCATTTAAACAAGCACTTCAGAAGGACATGAAAGCGCTTTGTGTTTGGTCTGTCACTTCATGCTCATTTGAACAATTACCTTACAGACATTCTGTGCCAGAACTCATACGTTTAGGAGGGCTCTTGGAAATCACAGGTTATGGGGAAGCACTTTTTAAAAGCCACCAAACCATGAAATAATGGCTCATTTGCAGAAATAATTCAAGGTTATAATATGAGCAATGTAAGATGTCCTTCTTTGAGTTAGATGAGGATGTTAAGAATGTAAAAATCGAAATGATTTTGTAGAAAGATTAAAATGACACATTTAGGAATTATCATTAATTAACCACATTTGAATGGTTTTAGCTTTTAATTTTAATTCTGTGTTCAAAGGGAAATCCTAGAGTATTTCTGAAGATTCTGTTATTAATGTTAACTTATGAAATGCCTTTCTATTCAACTACATTACAGTATGCGACAGCAATCTCAATCTAGAATAATTTTATAGTTGAGCTTGTTTTAAATTGAAAATAAACATAACCTCAAGTTGGCCTTGTTACCTGACTTCATTCGGGGCTCTTTATGTTATTTTGGAATTTCCTACGTATTTTTTTAAAGGAAGTCATGGAGCTGAAAGGCGTTTTTCTGAAAATATATCCTGATGAGGGAGTCACAAACAAAGTTTTGTTAGCTAAACTTCAAAGCCACAATTTGTGCGTATTTTTATTCCTTCCTATTAATTCCAGCGCTAACCTGAGAAGTTTGGGGGGAGGGGGGTATTCGCAGGGTGTATGATATTAAAAATAGCCCTTCTCCTGCTTTAATAATAATTCCCCTGCATTGACAAGAGCATCCAAGAGCTTACTTCCTGTTCCTCAGGTTTCAGCCTCTAGATGTGGTCTTTTCCACAAGAGGCCCCCTCCTCCACTTCCTGTCTGTCCTCATTAAAGCCTGCTCTGTGGCTGGCACGCATGTGGGAGACAAAGGTTCCACTTGTTCTGCACTGCGCCTGCTATCACAAACAGGGGGATTGGCAGCTGTCACCGACCTGAGGAACCGACACAGTGCAGAATTGAACATGACAGGGAAGTTTATTTTTCCAAGTGGGCTCCTATTAATAAAGATGGGAAGCCGGTAAAACTGCACTTGTATTCCTGATCTTTTCATGCAGTATGAGTGAAATAAAAAGAGAATCTTGAGTTTCTAGAGGTAAAATGTATGAACAAGATTTTTGATGATCATTGTTTCACTTGCTTTAAAAGATCCCTTGCTTTTAGTTTACATAAGGTTTAACCTATAACAGTTGCATTAAAACTACATGTGCAATTTTAATATTGTTGCTGTCTCGAATTTAAAGAGAGTGTGTGGTTGATTATTAAATTATAATAAAGGTAATATAATTCCAGTTCACTGGTTTAAGAGGAAAAGTGCTTTGGTAGACTCTAGTGCTAATATTTATGCCTGTCTAGTGTTGCAGTGCAGAGTATTGGTGAGGGTTGCAGACTCATAAATGGAAGGCTGTTACCTTAATCCTGTGCGAGGCACCGCTGTTTTTCTCTTGAGAAAAATTGTGCCAGTAAAATGCACAGCTGTATAAATGGGTACAGCTGTTAAATCACTTCAGACGAAAGAAACAGTCAAAGACAAAATTCAAGACAGGGCAAACACCTGACGCAAGTGTGGTTCGTTACATGAAGGTAAAAAATATATAAAAAACTACACTCGGTGTTTATGTAGACACACAAATCCCATCTTCTAGAGGGTGTAGAGAAGCCATTAAAAAGAATGTTGTTTGAACCTGTTAGTTTAACCCGTGGAATTCGAATCATGGGGTTCTGTGTTTAAATTGTACAATGTCCTAGTTAGAATTTAGAATTTTTGTGCAGTTTTGGTCACCACGTTTGAAAAATAAAAAAAAGATTTTGCTGCTTTGGAACCAATCCAGAGAAGAGCGTCCAGATGCGTTCCTGGACTGAACAGGATGAGTTACACTGCCTGACCATCTTCTTGTCTTGAACAGAGGAGACCTGATTTTTTCAATTGTCCAGTGGCGGGTCTGCAGAAAGCGGCTGCTCTTAATTATAATGCACGCCATCAACCGCGAAACACAAAGCA